GGGTTTTTTCGGCCTGACTGTTGGCCCCGCTCCACTCCCTGGGGCAGACGGCTGATTCCCGCGCACACCGGGCGGGGCCCTGTTCGTAGTAGTTGCCGCCACTTGATTTCTGATCAGTGTGCGAATATCCAAATCGTCCTCTTCGTGATTTGCCATGATACCTACACACCATTAGTCAAAATCAATGATAACGCAAGAATTTAAAAAAAGTAAGAAAGGTACTATACCAATCAATTCTTCAACTACGTCGGCCAATTCACACAACCGAACCAGAGGACGGCACGGTACTATAACCTGTCGGCTCGGCAACGTGCCGATAGGTTAAACAGGTTATAGTACAAATCACAGTTAACAAGGACAAGTGCATAATTAAGACATGGTTAGCTGATTAGCATCGTATTACCTAATTTGGTAAAGATTAGGATAGGCCCACCACATTCAGGCCCATGTCAGGTATTATAAATAGGTCACACGTAACGAGGTACGTCCCTGTTCATTAATTACCCTAGAATATCGTGCTTGTCCTAACTTGAGCGTCGGAGTTCCTTTTGCTGGTACCTACCCCCTCTGAAGAGTCTGTTTGAAGCATCCGTTCGGCCATTTTCACTAAGAAGACTACGAGTGTACCCTCAGGCAGATACAAATATTATGATAAAAATATTAATATTTAAATTTATAATAAAGCTATTTTTAAATTAAAACAAATAGTGAACTAAGAAAATCACACACACGCACGTACATGCCGTATATGCAATGCAATTCTCAATTATGTTTCTTATTTTGTTAAATAAATAACAGAAATTTAAGTTTATGTGTAGTCCATTATACTTTTATATATATATATATATATATATATATTATATTTATAATGACATATTTTATATGTCATATATAATGTCTCATCCCATGCAACAACATAACTCCACCCTAAGTCTTCATAATCCCCAAAATCTCCAACTATATATATATAGAAAGAGGGAGAGGGGGTCTCAGGTGAGAGAATATTTTATTGTGAGAAATAAGAGGATTAAAATATAACTCTTAGATTAATTTAAGAGGTTAGATTAAATTAGATAATTAAATCCCTAATCACCCATTATTTCTCTCTTCTTTGTTCCTTACTCTATTACTCCCTTTTTTTTCCATGACCTTCTCCTTTCTATTCTTTCATCTCCTCCCTTCTGGTCAACATCGATCATTGGCACAAGCCTGCAATATATATTTTAACCCTCTCATCTCTCACAATATATCGGGTGTTTGTGCATATTCAACCTCTGAATAGCCTCCGTCTCATTATGATCCCCTCTGAACACTGAACTTGAGTAATCCTCCAACAACTCCTTCACTGCCTTCAAGCTTCTCGCGAACGCTTTCTCCCCAACACTCTCTTCGATGTCTCCTTCGACGAAAAATCCCTTAGTATCTTCCCAATGAATGCCTTCACGAACACCTTCACTAATGTTGTGTTGTTGTACTATTCATCGCAAAGGGCATGAGTCATTGCAGCATCGCTTTGCACGAGTCCTCTCTCAAAGGAGAAACCCTAGCCACGAGTTCCTTCGACTCTTCCTCGCTCAGATTAGGGATTTTATTGTGAGAGAATAGAAAGGAGAAGGCTGTGGAGAAAAAAAGAGAGGGAGTAACAAGGGAAGAAGCATAAAAGTATTGAGTGATTAGAGGTTTAATTATCTAATTTAATCTGATCTCTTAACTTACTCCGTTCAATAAAATTTGAAAATCATTTTATATTTCGTTTCATTAATTCAAGTTGACAGATAATTATAAAATCATTTTATACATTAATTTAAATTAATGAAATGAAGTATCAAATGATTTTCAAATTTTTAAAAATTTACAAATTTGATCTATGCATTAAGAACTTTAAATTCAATGGTTGGATCATTGAAATTTGATGTAGACCATAAGTTATTTAACGGAGTAAATTTAAGTAGACTTACTCCTAGAGTAAATGGATCCCTCCTCATATATATATATATTAAAAGGAGGGATCTACTTACTTTAAAAGTAAGTCTACTTAGACTTACTCCATTCAATAACTCATAACTTACACCAAATTTCAATGATTCAATTTTTGAATTAAAAAATTTTAATGCATAGATCACATTTGCAATGTAACGTTGTACATTACTAATTATTCTCATTTTCCTTCAATGATTATGTGTTCTGAAGTTTTAAGGTGTGTTGTTGAAATATGAATACTTTGATTATTTTCAAGTTGTCGTTCAATTTTAACAAAATTTGATATACAAATGTAAAGTAATATGAACTTTTAATCTAACGGTTAAATTTACAAAATTCACAGTTAATAAAAAGTTATTAAGCAGTGTAATACTTAGTAAAAATTACACCGGTATTATTATAACTCTCCTCTCTCTATATATATAACATGTTTTCTTATTTTATTTTGAATATTTTAATAAATTAGTTTTCACTATTAATAATAATGATCTGGTTTAATGTGATGATTAGGCCAGATCGCCACAACCGGTTATCATTTTACCAATTGATCTTTCTGAGATATCTATTGCTCTTTTTCCTGTGAGTACAGCTGGCAAATTGAATGATGTAAAAGGGGTTGTGTCCGGAAGTGGATTAAAGTTGTGTTTCTTCATTTCCAGTAGTTCTGCTTCTCTCTCCAAAATTAATTCACTATATGACATTAGTCATGGAAAGCATAATTCCCAACATACTTTTCGAAGCATGTTGAAAACAAGGACCAGGACTTAACTTTATTCTTATGTCATACCCAAAACAGCTGGATAAAGAAAATTTCCTGTTTTATTATCTTTAAAATCATAAGTTGGACAGAATCTAACTTTTAATTAATTTTTTTTAATTTTTTAAAGTTATCTTTAAAGATCTTCATCTTTTTTAAAAAAACAATTAAAAAAACAAGACTAAAAATAACTTTTTGACATAAAAATTATAAAATAGTTTTAATTAACATTAAATTTAAAGTTCTTATTTTACCAAAAAAAAAAACAGTTCTTATTCTAACTTTTACTTTAAATTTACTTTTGAAGTACAAGAAAATCAGGTCAAATGTTACAAAGTGCAGTTAAAAAGAGAACCGCGCTGCATGAGTGCAAGTGAGTTTTCAGTTACTAAAATTTTTACACCGTAATTGCATTTGATATTTTGTCATAAAACAAAAAATATGATTTTTCTTTATATGGAAATCATTCGAATATTGAAGTATGTGTTTATAATCTTAACCCAACCACTAATAAATATATTTCAAAATAAAATATGGATTTAAATATGATTTTTTTTGTTATTTAGATATTAAAAATATTTTCAGCAATTATTAAATTTAGAAAAAATAAATGATTACATACTATTATATAAAAAGGATACCCCTTTTAATAATTACTTCATTTTACTCTATTTTATTTTATTCATAAATCTAAATCACTTATTTTTATTTATTTTTTATTTTAATGTCTTTTTCGTCTTTATCATCTTTAAATAATTACTCAACTAACTATTCACTACATAATTTATTTTTTATTCATATATTTTAATTGATTAAAAACAAAGAGACACAAGAGCCTCTTTTTTCTTAGTAATAATAAAAAAAGCGATTTTCAGACTTTTAGTTCACAATACTGGTTTTATAAAATAAACCAATAATAATAAATGTGTATTTTGAAGAAAAAAAATTCAGCAGATTTTATAAAATAAATCAATAATAATAAAATTTGAATGTGTATTTCTAGAAATATCAAATATCTATAAAAGAAAATTAAATAATTTAAATAGTGATTATATTTAATGATTTAATCATAATTTTCAGCTAATGAATACATTCACTTAAAAAAAATAGATGTTTCATTAATAATATTTGTAATACATTAAATTATATATATATATATATATATATATATATATTAT